CTGGCTTACAGATGTGAGACTGTAACAACCCGAGATGAGATACCTTTTTATGGTGTTAAGTAAATCCTGACATGGTCCTGGATCACTGAAGCTTGTAAGTAAAGCATTCGTTTTAGGGATGCTAAGTCAAGCCAGTAGAGGGGCCATTGGAAAAATTTCCTCAGAATTGGTGGTCGTCAAAATAAGATGACAACGGTCTAATCAGAGACGTCAAATCAATCAGTATTTATACAACACACATAAGTGAGAAAGAAAAGTTACGGAATGTACAAATTATGTCATCATATTGTCCAGGCATGGTATAAAATAAGCACAATACGAATCTTATGAACTCCCTATAATATGAATCAGCAGTGACCTGTGACACTATAGTTTTTAATCATCATAAAAGACAGAACCCATTGCTGGTGGGACTACATAAGTGAGTAGCTTGGGCCGAAAAAGCCTGCAATGTCAGAACTCGGCACGCACACGGTTATGTCCTTCCCCGTATATTTACCCCAGATTCAGCAGCAGCTCAGACTCCGAACACCTCGGATCGCTGGAAACTCGCACGCCAAGAGCCCTTACGGTAGAGATTAGAATACACGTCACCCAAACCATTCGGTGGCACTCATTGTCGTTTGACCCAGGGAGGTCAACAAGACTCAATTCACGGCCTCGGAACTTGCACAGGAAGAATGTTGACAGCCCACTCGAGCTAGAGCGCTGAAAATGGCACCAAACAACTCGTCATGGCCTGCAGCTCCTTTGCCGCTTCAGTTCGACATCTACCTTTTTAAAGGATCGACGAGGTCCAGCCCAGTACCAGCACAGACTCATAACATCTCAGAATGACTTGCAACTGGCACCCACTTGAAACCGAAAATGGTATAGGGAGTCGTTCGTACCAACGTTCTAGCTCTAGGTATTAGGTGGGTCATAATCCGTGTTGTGAATTTGGGACCGTGACCTTTGATGACCTTTCTAGATTAAACGGCTAGAAATGCCACCAAATCAATAATTTTGCCTCGTATGTAATCTCTACTCATAAGTCTATGTGACGTGCGAGTTTCAAGTCACTCCGAGGTGTCCCGAATCTGGGCTGAAGATGCATTATCTTGACGGATATGTTTTCATGGCTGCTTGGTCGCATCCGGAAATGTCCCAAAATGTCGTCCCGATAATACGCCAAAATGTGTCAATGCTATTTGGTTTACATTTATGTTTATCGAATACCGTGACCTCGCGGCGCGGCGGCCGTCGCCAGTCTGCACGGCATCCGGTGGGTGCTGCTCCCCCCCCCCAGACAGCTCCCCATGCGACCGCACCACCCCCCCCCGCCCAGGGACGCACACCCGCGGACATCCGACCGCTCCTATAGCCCAGTTCGCCCATGGGGTGCGGCGCCGCTGTTTCCGTTTGACGCCCTGCGTCCACCGAAGGCCGGAAGCCATCGGTCGGGGCCGCGACACAGATCTGCGAAGTAGCTCAGACCGGACATAACAGTTCGGCGTGACAAATCTGATCTATGGTCAAGACTCAAGGTTGGCCAAGTGAAGAAAGGAATAAGAAATATAACGGGAGATCGACCCATTACGTAACATGTTGTGCCCTTACATGGACTAGGTATATAGGGTCAGGTCAATATTTAAATTGTTTGGCAGCACAAAAACATGTCAATCTATATATATATTATATATACAAGCAATATTAACCTGATTTCCGCCAAGAATTCGAAGAAACCACAGTTCAGTGAGGTGAGTCGGTGACAATTAATTGCTCGGGTCGATTGGAAAACATTGACTTTTTACCGACCTAACGGGCAACGGCAGCATGGGTTTTTATTTCAAAGTGGACATCCAGCTGAAAGGGCCCTTATATTGAAAATACCGAAAGCCTCTCCGCCCCCCCCCCCCCCAAAGGAAAATTTGGGAGGCAAAGTAAAACGAATTTTACTCTCCCGTCTGCGCCACTATTGTGAATTTTCAGTCATTTTAATGTTTTAATTAGGTCATATGTAGTGTGCAATTATATTGTGAATTTTCAGTCATTTATAATGTTTCACCTTTCAATTAAGTCATATGTAGTGTGCAATTAAAATTGCAAGGGACACATAGGTATTGATATTACGCATATGTAGATACCTTATTACCAAGAGTCCATTTGGCATTTCAGTTTGTAATCGAGTAGGTACAGGCTGTGCAGTGTAATGCAGAAAGAGTAAAAAGTGGGCTTACTGTTAACAGGCGAAGCAGTTGGTGCAGGTCCTTCTCTGATTATGACGGTCTTGGTCTTCTCTTCGACGGACTTTCTTCTTTATGATCTTCCTTTGAGCGGAGTGATCGGAATGACAATTGACAGGTACACTGCATGTGACGGTATTGTGACCTCAAGGGCAATCAGGAACGGACCCACCAAGGAGCTGACCCGCCTGACGGGCAAAAAGTAGGTACATAAATCGACTCAATTGTGCTGGATAGCTGAATGCTGACACTTCTTTAGGACCTTATCACCTAGCTTTAGTGGTAGCCTGGTGACTTGACCTCATGATCTAAAAGGCTTAGACTTGACAAAAATATTTTCGATGTGATTTTCACGCCGCTTACCTCCCAGGTAGGTATATACAGTATACTATATACTGCACCTTGCCTACCACCTTTCTAACTACGGGGCCAAACAGGTCAAACACAACACAGGAACACAGTGCACGGGCCTCCCTGGATTATTTCTCCTTGCATGAGAAATAATGGGACGCTCTGTTAGGGGCCCTAGCCCCCTAAAACATTCATTATTTGCCAGACCTCACCTCGTGTTGTAGCAGAAAGGTATATGGCCTTGGAAAGGCGCGCGATTTTTGTTTGTCCCGGCGGCGCCATTTATGTCACGCTTTTGAACTAAAACGCAGCAAAACCGCGACGAAGCAATCACAATGCAGCTCAACGTATGTATGTACATTTCCTTCGTACTGCCATGACCATTTCCATGGCCCACCATGGCCATGGCGCATTAATAAAAAAAAAATGGAATAGATAGTTAGCGTCAAGTTTTCTATACTAGCACGAATGCAGTTTCAACTTTCAAGCAACATTTTCCGAGTCATCCGAACATCCACTTTAGGTAGGTAATGACTAATGAGTCCATGACGAAGCTTTCAAACACATCTGCTCAGTGTGTTTGCATTTTGCACCAAGATCACAGTTCGCAAATCTAAAAGTCATACCTAGACCTATAGCTCTATAGTTCTATAGCCTTGCCTAGACCAACAAAGGGCCGGCTGACCAACAAAGGGCCGGCTGGTATCAGAGAGTCCTTCCTCTCTCTGTTAGTGTTCAGTGGTTAGTTCCCAAGAGCTTATTCAAGAGGGCATCATTCGTATCGATCTCATAATAAGCTTTCATAAGAGATGTGAAAACTCAAGTATGCCTGCATGAATGTAGGCATATACCCAGCTACAAATACACGCTCATGGTAATCTCGATAATGGATTAATCCGTGCCGATTAACAGGCGCCTAAATTGCTGGGGGGGGGGCGTTTTTACGCCCCCAACTCAGGTTTTTCGCGAATACCTATCCCAAAAACGGCGGGCGCGGTATACATGTTCATACATCATTTCCGCACATGTGAACATTTTGGATACAGGTCGTCTAAGGGCAGGTCACCAGGTTACGTCAAGTGACCTCACCTCAGAAAAAGTTCAAAGGCTCGCTATAGCTATAGCTACACCGACTGAAGTATGAACGATCACTTTAAAACTTTCAGCGATAACAGTGCGTATAAAATGTAGGTATACCTCAGATTGTTTATATCCGTGACCTAAGGTCAGGTCAATTTTGCGACCTCTCCAATTAGTCAATGGGAGAAAATTGAAATGCGCCTCTTTTGGACGAATGTCGCTCAGTCAAAACGCTCTCAAACATCGGTTCATAGGTAAACGTGACACTTAAAACTTTCAGCGATAACAGTGCGTATAAAATGTAGGTATAGGTACCTCAGACTGTTTATATCCGTGACCTAAGGTCACGTCAATTTTGCGACCTCTCCATTTAGTCAATGGGAGAAAATTGAAATGCGCCTCTTTTGGACGAATGTCGCTCAAAACGCTCTCAAACATCGGTTCATAGGTAAACGTGACACACTGAATCGGAAATTTGCACCTGTGACCCCTCTGTAGGTATTCCCCTGAGGTCATCTCAGGATATGAACGGTCACCAGCAGCTTTTTGGCTATAACTTTTGATAGAGACGTGCTAGCGCGGTGAAAACACGTCAGCTGTGTTCAGCTCGACGACAAGGATCGACTGATGTGCAACATGACCCTTTCCGGTCAGGTCATGACCTTGACCTGAGGTCATTTTTTTACATCGGAAACCTTGTAATGATCTTTCAAGGTCAACAAATAGTTCATTCGATGCGTCTCGACGAGAGGAACACGATGCTGCCAGAAGTAGGTTATGTGGCGCTCTTGAGTGATGAGTCAAAAGTCATTGCCGAAAAACATGTTTTGTGGAAACGGCTATTTTTACAGTTTTTGCTCTCTGGAGGCTAAACCGTTGACCTCAGAGGTCAGATCTGAGAGCATTACTCAGGAAGTTCTGTAAAAGGGCTATCGAATGCGCTTTTCCGCGGAGCTGTAGCTCTATTGGTTCCCGAGTTAGTCATTGGCAGTTTCCAAAATTATTGAAATTGACTACATTTGACCTTTAACAACCTCTGGTGACCTGACCTTAAAAATGACCGAAGTGTTTTCCTCCTTATTTTTGACGCTCTTTCGCTTGCCGCTTACCGCGTGTCGCTACGTGGGCTAGGAGCCGAGTTAGACGGGGAGGGGGCGTTTTCACGCCCCCCCCCCCCAGCACTCGGAAAGTTCAGGCCACCAGCACGGCGCGGGTTAATTATCTTTTTCTCACGTCCTAAAAGTCCACACTCGGCGCCTTTCTAACCCGCGGGCGGTCAGTCGCAGTAGCAGCCCACCTTGATTCCGTGTTTACCATTCAATTCTCATCAGTAAAAAAGCCGAAACGGGTAATTCAGTGTTTATTACCCACCATAAAATACACACATCCAATCCACAAAAATGCATATTGTGACATGATCTATACACATTGATGTATTATGACAATCGGTACCTAATCGCTGCGGGAGCGAGATCCATAAGCTCCGCCCCATCAATAGCGACATGAACACACGCACTCCGGCGATCAGGCTGAGCAATCAGGCTCATTCAGACTCAGTTCAGTAGTCCAAGGAACCGAAAAGGCTCACTTGCGACCAACTGACGGCGAACATGGCGCCAGCGTTACCACCCCTCAACAACCATCGTCCATCATAATCCATATCGGGTCATCAAACATTAACTCCGCACACAGCCGCGCTCCCACACTTATCCGCACATCAGCACGGAGCATCTAGCATATCGAGCACACAGAACCGCACGGAGCTCCGTTCACCTGTTCGCAGTCCACAGTCGCAGACCCAGACCTGTCCGTCACACCCCGACTGGCGCCGCGCACAGTGGGCTGTATCAGTTCCCTCAGAGCCGGACAGCGAGCCCGCTCAGCGGCGCTTGTGGTTCGAGTCGTACGAGCGCTTCTTGCTGCTCTTGTGCCGGTCCTGCTGCGGCGAGCCGCGGCGGTCGCGCTTGCCGACGCTCTGGGACGAGTGTTTCGACTTGGAGCGCAGTGGCGAGCGGGACCGGCCGCGCTCCACTGACCGGTGGCGCGTCTTGTCGCGGCTGGGGACACAGGCGAGGAGGCTGGTTAAACACGAATCAAGAGGGAAATAACTGAGGCGCTGAATGCCACAGGTCACATAGTTCTGGAAAACACATGCAGTAGTCAGCATTCACCCGTCATATCCCGACTCTCACTTTATCTACCCAAACCAAATTTAACTCTGCCCAACCCTGTGCCATCTACAACTGTCAGTCTCAGCCGTATGGCAAACAATGCCCAACATCTAACCATGAAGCATTGTAACAATGTAACATTGTCACGTCAATAGGAAATATTTGCTGTCGAGTGTGTAAGGGCATATGGATTTTCGTGAGCTCTGTGTGTACACAAATACCAAGGGACAAAAGCATTAACATTTGAAGTGCGTCTTTCAGCATGTTTCATGAGTGCATGCCGTGGGTTCAATCGCCGTAGTTCCAGTCGTATCACTGAGGCGGCCACTCCCCAAATATCGACATTGCTCCTTACCCGCGCTCCTTGTCCTTTTTGTGTTTGGTCCGGTGCCGGTCAGGGGTGGACGAGTGGCGGCGCCGTGCGTTGCTCGGGGACCGCGAGTGGGACCGGTAGCGGTCGCGGCGGCTCTTCGACTGCAGCTTGCGCCGGTCCGAGTCCTCGTTGGACGAGCGCGACCGAGAGCTGCGGGCGACGGAGACCGGGAGTTAGAGCACGGCATCGGAGACATGGACACATAAAAGACATCAATCTACGGGCAAGCGGCATGTTATAACACATTTGCAATAGCAGCACAATATGCACCCACGCAAAGTTACGCCGGAGGACAAACAGAAAACGGTACTGGGCCAGAAAATAGCTAAAGTTATTAGCAATACGTGTCAAACATTAAAATGACTTTCCGAATGACTCAAGTTACCGAAATAGCAACTGACGAAACATTCATACATAAGACAAATATGTCTATGTCCTGATACACAGCTAAGTGCAAATATCGAGTCAGCGCGACAAAGCCCTGGTCTTTGAGGAGGGCGCTCACCTGTCGCAGCGTTTGGCGAGCGCCGAGGCGATGTTCTCCTTGTTGAGTTTGGCCGAGTCGGGCAGCAGAGGGTCGGCGGCCGGGTCGGAGCCGGCCGCGGCGCCGTTGGGCGTCTCGCGGCCGGTCGAGTCGACCAGCGAGGCGCCGCGCTGCTCGGCCGGCGAGTTGTTGTGCGACACGGCCGGACTGAAGTTGCCCGCGCCCTGCGGCGTGTTGGTGCCCGACAGCAGCTTGTTCTTGAGGCGCAGCTCCTGCTGGCGCGCGCGCAGCTCCTCGATGGCACGCTCCAGCTGCTCGGCGTTCGGCTGCGGACACAGGTGACTGGTCAGAGAAATGCCAATCACGAACAAAGGTTCGTAGCTACGTTCGGTGCAATGAAAAGCGATGACCCAAGTAACTGCATTCTTACTTAATTATTGTACATGAAATTGAAATTTTGAGCTGTTTCTTGGCACGGTACTAGCTACTTAAACTACTTGGAACAAGAATATTCATTTACGCCCGCTCTACACTGCACCATCCGTACATACCTTGGCGCGCGTGTAGAGTTTCATGATGGCGGTGGCGATTTCTCGCAGGTCCTGCTCGCGCATGTCGAAAACGGTGAACCAGTGCGGCCGGTTGGGCATCGGCACGCGCTTCACGCGCGCCGCCAGGTAGATGCACGCGGCCGCCACCGTCTCGGGGCTGAAGCGCACGAACACGTTGGTGCGTAGCGCGTCGTTCATGGCGTTCCTGCGGAGAGAAGGCGGCTGGGGGTCACGGGGTGCCCGACGCGGCGGCGGGCGTCGGCGGTCCTCTGGCGGCCTGCTCCTCCCGGGGCGGGTCCGGGCGCGTCCTCGGCAGCACCGGCTGAGGTAATGCTGGCGGTGGGTGGGTGGATGGTCGGCCCTCCGAGCCTGATCAGGATATACGGTCACGGCGCTTAGTGTCAACTATAGAAGCAGGGCGGCCCATTGGAGGGCAGTGCCCTGGCGCCGCGAATAGATGCGTCCCGCCGGCCGACGGCCAATACAACGTCTGCAAGACGCAAAAAAAGGCTCAGGAGGAATCAAAGGTCAAAACTAGTGAATATATTGCCTTCTTGGTCACCTCTTTATTTTACATGAATCAATTCATTTGATGTAGTATTCAGCATTTTGCTTATAGAAAGATGACAAAACAGCTAAGGATGTAGCCTTTTTTGCTTGTTTCGGTAAAATAAAAGCAGTCGTCCCCCTACTTGCCATCAACAAAAATATGCAAACTCTCAGAAGGAAATTAAAGGTGAAAATGCGGCCAACAGACGACAATGTATTTTGCTTGCATGATTGAGTAATAACGTACGAAGAGGTGTACGAATATATTTTTGGAAAACCAAACCAAACTATGATCCTTAACCCTCGCCCTGACAGGGAAGGGGGGGGGGCGGTCTATGCGACCCCCTGAGGGTTTTTTTTGTGATGAGCGCCGAGCCATTAGTCGGATCGTGCTGAAATTTTCCATAGCCTCTGAGGCATCCTTTGCGCAGCTTTTGGTAAAAAGAATATATGTTCAGGTCATGTCAGGTCACCGAGTAATGACGTCATAATAGGTACGGCTCTCGGGGGTTTAAGCGGTAGGTTTTGCCTTTTTACATTTCCGGCTAGATCTCATAAACTAATCGATAAGCGATGAAGCCAATTTAGAGGATCATTCATCATGGCAGGCATGTGTATTGTGTACGAATAAACAGATCGCAGCTTCAACCCTTAAAAGCTTAAGACGAAGACGATATAGCCGAAAATTTACTAAATTTCATAGGGGCAAAACCTGCCGCTATAACCCGCGAGACCTGTACAACCTCCGACCGTTTTTGACAAAGTCGTACATTCCGCGTAACTGGACGACAAGAACGAAACTATTCCGTGTAATTTATGTCCGATTTTGACAGGACATGAATCTTTACATTGTATATTGACCTTTCTTAGGCCAACCAAGGTCAATGACCTCGCATCTTCACACGCCGACCTCCGTGATATGAGCTGTAAGTGCGGTTTCTTGAGGTCCTGAATCCGAATATGTGGTTCAATGTTCACCTTAACGCATTCAAAACTTTTCCTTGACCTTTACAAGGTCAACCCAGGTCAATTACGACCATCCTCGCTGACAGCCGGTGTGACCTACCGTGTTCCCGGGGAATACGTCACGCCAGTAATGACTGAAATGCGGTCAACTATGCATCATTTTGTTGCCAATTCGTTGAGAAACACGGTCGTGAAAGTTCCATGTCGCCATCTTTCATAGATCCGCCAATATTGGCTATGTAACATGGAAAATTATAGCTTTTCCCCGAAATTTGACATTTGATCTGCCATAACTGGGTCAAATATTGACCTATGGTCAAAAAATATACCACCAATCGCGCAATGTACCAGCTTCGTAACATGTTACCTAGGCACTGGAACTACTTCGTAACTGTTCAAATGGTTGCTGAATTCGAATTCAGCTAAAAAAAACTAGCCTGGATACATGTAAAACTCGAAAAAGTGACCCAAGGCCATCAAAGGTCAATGACTTAACCTGACCTTCAGGTGACCTTGATACCCACCCTAATGCATGGGACTAACATCACATGTTCGAACGCTTGAAACCACTAAAAGACTGCAAACGCGCGGCTAATTCGAGCCGACATACGCCGAATCACGATTCCTGCCAACCATGATCTCGAAAAGTAGGTCACAGGTCAAAGATCATTTGGGTCGGGACCATGACATTTTCAGGGTAGGTGTAGAATTGATTAACGCGAGGGTACTGAAAGTTTCGTCGCGATCGGCCGATTTTTACGCGAGCTATGCGCGAAAAACCGAGCGGAGGGGTTCGTTCGACCCCCCCCCCATACGGGCGAGGGTTAACCCTCGCCGGCCGAGGGGGGGGGGGCGGGTGCCGCCCCCCCATAGGGTTTTTTCGCGATAGCTCCGAACACGCTGGCGATAGAGAGCTGAAACTTGGCATACCTGACCTTTGATTCAAGCCGCATCTTTTGACACCAACCGCGTTTTTGGGTCAGGTCAGGTTACTGACCTATGACGTCATAAGTGAACCTCTGCACGGTCTTCAGATGTCGCAACTTCGCAACGCCCTCACTGCCAGAGGAGATGTCACAGGGAAATGAAACTTGCAGGATCTAGTATCCATTATGAGTCTCACAACTTGTATATCTCGGATTTTTCCTAAAGGTCATATGAGGTCAGGTCATTTTCGTGACCTCACCATTATAAGTCAATGGGGAAAAATGAAAACTGCTATTCTGGCGCCGGGAACGATCTGCAACTATCTCAAGCACACAGAATCGTGATTTGGTGCACTCCTTGCAAGGTTAGATGCTTCTTTTTTGCAATGTTGACCTTGCGTGACGTCATTTATGACGTCATCAAGGTCATATTAGTTTTTCGTCAATAACTCTTGATCAAATTGAGCTAGCGAGTCGGGAAAGCCACCAATGGACTCAGGAAGACCTGCCGAATCGAATGATATGCGACATGACCTCTTTCGACCAACTTCGTGACCTGGGGGTGCTGACCTGACCTTGACCTGAGGTCAACACCCCAAGTTGACCTGACCCGGACAAAAAGTATATCATTCGACGCGCCTGAGCGAGGCGAACACGGTGCTGCCAAAATCGCGGCTCTGCGGCCGTTTTTTGCGAAGCTATTCACCAAAAACTGAACCGTACCTTGGGGCACTTGACCTGACCTCAGAGGTCACCGGTTGACCTAGGACCTTAAAATCGGGTACCAATCTCTGCGTCTCGTAACGGCGCACACGCTCGTTTTTTTCCGCGACGCGCTAGCTCCACCAGGGGCGAAACGGCGAGGGGGGTCGTACCCACCCACCCCCCCCTCGGCCGGCGCGTATGTAGAAAACCAATAGGTCCGGCGAGGGCTAACCCTCGCCCGCAGATGAAAGGACTCTCCCCCCCCCCCCCCCCCCAGGTAGTTTTTCTGCTCTGCGCTTAACATTTTTAAAACTAGAAGCCTAGTTTTTTTTTTTTGTATAGCTGCTTTTCTATCCTTTCTCAGCGTCCACTGAAAATCTCAAGTTTCTGCTGTTTTTGGTTTCGGAGATATGACCTTGTTCTTCAGGTCATGTCATGACCCAAATGACCAATATCCACTATCTTGCGTTGGCTATGGGTCTTGTAAGCTCTTGACACCTTGATTTCGGCTTTTTTGCCAGTCCTACCTCCCACCTATCATGGAACATGTTGTTCGACGATGTACAGATAGGGTCAGGGTCAAGGTCAACCTAGGTCCTAGGCCATCTAAAAACATTGCGTTTTAGGCAAGCTGAATTTACTTTTCGTGAAATTTCTTTCACTGTATTTTTGGTAGAAGCTTCTCAGTTCATCTCATGTAATAGGGAATGGGACACACAAATCAATCGGTATTCGGTGCACACATCAGTATACACACACAGACATACAAACACATATCATTGACCTTGACCTAACTTGACCTGAAATGACCACAGCCGGCAAACACTTCGTCGGATAGTGTGACAAAGAGCTGTTCTAGCTGGCTTGGCACCAATACGGCAGCGTAATCGGTATATGATGGACACCGCACGTGATATTCCAACGGCGACCCCAAACAGCAACACTTTTTTAGTTTGACCTGACCTGGAAGGTCAATGACTGACACAATGAGGTAAAATTGGGTACCATTGGATTCGTCTCTTCCCAAAGAATCTGCTGGTCCTTACCGTGAAGCTCTCTCCAGCAGGAACGAAATGGCGCGGGGTGGCAACTCCCCCCCCCCCCGTCATGTGCGTTCTAGGATGGGAAAATGGCATGTGGGGGCGAGGGTTAAAGGGACCCTTCCACCTTCAAAAAAGTTAATGAATTGGCATAAAAGTATGTCCCGATGTTAACAAAGTTCAAAAATGAATATATACCAAATTTCACGGGCAAGTTTTCACTGGTTTCAACCTTCTACTTTTGTCTACTTTTTGTGACCTTCGCTGTTCCTACGACGTCGTATGGAAGCAAAAACTTTAGCGTGCGGCAGATATTGCGCGCAAAGCAGTATATACCACCACGCTCTACCGATGGCTTTAGTAAAAGATTTAAAAATCGTTAGATCTGCGCTGACGTCACGAATCAAAAGGGTGCATTAAAATGCATTAGCCCCTTAGAATATGAAAACTGCAAGCTTGAAATCAAATATATCCGAATTAAGGCAATTCTAGATGATGTGAGTGCCGAAACCGGTGATTGTGAGCCAGGAACCCCAACTTGGCTATCTCAACTCAAAACTAATGTCAAGGCGTCACTTTAACGGTCAAGGGGTCACTTTAACCCGCGCCCCGTAGGGGGGGGGGCGAAACGCCCCCCTGTCCTTTTCCGTGGATATCTCTTAAACGGCTGCAAATATCGCCACCAAACTTTCAGGACCCCTCCGGGCATCAATTTTACACATTGTGACCAAAGTCTTTTCCAGAGGCTATGATAGGTTGACCACAAATGACGTCAGAATGACGTCATGTTCTGCCATTTTCGACCGAAAAAAGCTTCGCGAGAAGAGCTGTCAGGCCTACAGCTTTGAAGATACAGAAAAATGATTAAGCCGTGAAAGGTGTACAATTGAAAAGGCTACAAAACTGCTATCTCGGATTTTTTTTTCATTTTTTCAATTTTGACCCCCAAAAATAAAAAAGTAATTTTTTGGATATATCGGCAAAAAAAGTTTTTTAGAGCTTTGAAAAAAAACGGAATA